GGAAACGAAAACGTAGATGTTAATAACGTACTCATCGCCGTCCAACAACTCGCGCAAGCGATAACAAACCAAAACGGACGACCTGTGGAAAAAATGATCATACCGATCCGAAAGTTCCGTGGAAACGACCAAGACCCGGTCGAATGGTTAAAAGAATTCGAGGTCGCAGCACGAGCAAATGGACTCACCAATCGACGTAAGATCCAAGTAGTCAGGGGATACTTGGAAGGGCCCGCAGCTATGTGGTATGATGAACGAGGAAGAGATCAAACTGTTGAATTGACCGATTGGGAAAACAATAATCACGACGAACATGATTTTACTCACCAGTTCATTCGAAGGTTTAGAACTCAGAAGAAGGTCGACCAATGGCAGGATGAACTGGAGACGCTGCAACAGACAGGGACCATCGATGCGTACACCGATAGGTTCATCGAACTCCTGAGGAAAGTGGATCCCGAGAATCAGTATCCCAATGAATACCGCGTTCGTACATATAGGAGAGGACTCCGTCCGGAAATACGAAAATGGGTTCAAGTGACGGCCGATGGAACGTTGACGAATATGATCGAAGTCGCCCGGAACGTTGAAAAAGCCGACACCGACAGCCTAACCCATGATTATCACCAACTCCAGACAAACCCAGTCATCACCAATAATGATCTAGTCACCACAATACAAATGTTGACTCGGAGGATAGAAGTTATGGAAACAACTCGCCCATATCAAAACAACAATGAGAATCGAAATAGAAACTGGAATCGGACAAATTCTAACAGTAGAATAATATGTTATAATTGCGGTGAACAAGGGCACATCAGCATCAACTGCGAAAAACCAAAACAGAACAATAATTACCGTGATAATTCAGGAGGAAATCGCCCAAATCAAAACAATGCAAATTCTTTCCCGCAAAACAATGTTCGTCCAAATCTGGATAGGCCGGTGATCAATGATAATACGGGAAGTAAAAACACGAATATCAATAATGTTCTTCTTGCCCAATTGCAAGAATTAACAAATAACTTGCAAAACATGGTCAAAAACCAACCCTCAAATGACACCAATTCTCTGCTCGCCACTCATGAATATCTGGCCAGCGATAAAAAGCAAAAAGGCGTGGACCGACATGAACCATACGTCAAACAACACAACACGAGAAGTCGTCGAACGGAAGCCGAAGACAAGGTAGGAAATCCGATAGTAAATGACGATGACGGAGGAGTGAACGACGATGAAGAAATGATTGAAATAGGTCCGTCGACGAAGCCTGCCGAAGAACAGACGCCTGAAAAAAGGAAACCACGGAAAAGAAAAGGGAAAGTCGAGTTACCCATCCTCGCAGCTAGAGCCACACCCTACGACATCGTCGAAGACCTGGCTGCGATAAAAGCCAATATCACGATCGCCCAACTGATCGAAACGTCGCCCGCCCAGAGGATCAAGATGTCTAAGGGAATGCGACGACCGATAACAAAGAAATCAATACGGAGGACGGGAATGGCATTGCAAAAAATTCGAACAACGTCAGCATGGTGTGAAGCGTACATAGGAAAGACTCCTATTGACTTAATTATCGATACTGGCGCCTCAGGATGTGTGGTAACCCAGGACTTCCTAAAGAAGAATAATATTAGGATCCAGCGCCCGTCGAATGTAAGGATGAACAATATTAATGGCGAATCCAAACAGCCCCTGGGAGCCATCGATAATCTCCCCATCACCGTAGACGGAATCGTAATTCCGGCCGACGTAGATGTAACGGAGGCAAAGACCTTTGGTGTACTGGTCGGGATGGACTGGCTTGGTAAAACAAACGCCAACATAAATCTGCGCAAGGGAGTGATGACGTTCGACTGGGACGGCCAGAGAGGTGAAATCCCAATAAAATTCATCCACAGTATCGAGGAAGCATCAAGCGACGACTCTGAGGAATCGAGCGAAGAAGAGTCATCCGGTGAAGAGGAATACGAAGAGCAAGAGCTAAACAAAAAAACGTACCTTATGTGGACAAGGGGTCGGAATCAAACGACCACGACTAAAATAAAACAAAAAGGAACAGAGGTCGATGACGAAAGTATTGAAATGGTCCTTGAAGAAAAGTGGACACCAGTCAGAACGGCATCACGAAATATCGGAAATGACTACTTCGGTGGCGTACCATCGCGAGTGGTCCGAGCGACAAGGAAGATTAAAGAAGTGCAAGCCTACAGGGAAGGAATGAAAGTACAATGGCGGAAGTACACCTGGTACGATTATAATGAGCTGACAAGAAAGTTTTAGCACGAACAACCGGAGAATCAACCGTGGGCTTTGGATTGGAGGGGTCCGTATAAAACCTGCTGGTGTAAGAAAAGGCTGCAAACCTGGGACCACCAGTGTAAACGATGCAGAGACGATCTGGCGGACTGGCTGGCGATAGAACGGCACATTCCATATCGCATCCAGTGCAAGACCGATGTGGACTGGGCCGCCGAAGTCGAACAGGAAATATTCCTGGCCAATCGAACAACTGTAAGATTTCGAACCTACGAGGAAGCTGAATGGTATATCCGTCCGAAGGATCAAATCCAACAATGCCAGCGGTGTTGCCTATATGTTGATAGGTATTATATGAGTGTCTACTGCCAAACGGGAAGCCGACAGGCAATAGCCTGTGACGAATGCATAAAAGAAAAAAAGTTGAACTTACCGGCCTGTGAAGTCTGCGAAGAGCGAATGGAAGCTCGGGAAATGTTCATTGTCGGATCGTATGAGAAGAAGTACTTCTGTGATTATCTACACCAATGCGTCTTCAGTTTCGATCGAGGAGGTTGGCAACGAAACACTGGAACCATCCGGAAACTTCGCGAACGAGGACTCCTGTTGGAAGTATATACCCAATGCAACGAAATCGGGAAGGCCATCCTATCTCGATATATTCAGGAAGATGATATTGAAGCCGAATTAGGCATCAATTACTACGGAAACGAAGAAGCGTCGGCCGTGGAGATCTTCCAGTCGATATATCAGCAAATAACCCCGGAGCGAAGACTACAGTTAGCACGTCTAAAATATATTAACGTTAAATTATGTAACGAATGTTACATACCTTGCGATTCGAAGTATTGCGCCGAATGCATGCCGTCAATATTGGAAGAATCAACGACTACAATTACTAAAAAGGGTAAGGAGAAGATGATAGAGGGAATAGCGGAAATAAATGAACGAAATCGGGAAGAACCGGAAGTACACGACGAACGATCATTAATAAAAATCGAAATACCTGGAGTCTCCGACACCTTTACGGAAATATATGACTACCTAAAGAAAATGGAAGGGGAACTCGATATTAACCTTTCAGAAACAATACGCGATAATAAACCTGGAATTAGCAAGAGAATAATCAAGGGAAACCAGGGGAATGACGAAGAGGAAAAGAGTATGAATTATTGGATCAAGATTTATAATGACGAAGGAAAAGGGAAGGAACCTACCCGCGTCCATAAAAACGATGCCGGTTTCGACCTTATCTATCCGGGAGAAACAGAGATTATCGTAGGGTCACATCAAATAGTTGTGATCGATCTACACATAGCGTTCGAAATACCAGAAGGAACTGTTTGCCAGATAATGACAAGATCCTCGCTCGCTAAAATGGGCATCGAAATCAAAGGTGGGACCATCGACGCAGGATACACGGGAAATATAGGTGTAATCGTAACTAATACCGACAACCAAGATTATACGATTAAACCGAACGATCGAATCGCTCAGGCGATATTCTTGCAGTTGGCACATATCGAAGGAATGGTTCCCGTAAACACAAGAGAAGAATTGGGCGAAACTAGCAGGGGAACTCGAGGATTTGGATCCACCGATGAAAGGGCAGCGGAAGCGTACTTCCAAAGCCTAGAAGAGGAAAGGCCATTAATACCCCAACGAGTACTAACGCAAACACAACTACAACAATTAAAATTAATACTCGAAGAATATGACGATATTTTTGAGGAAGAACTTACACGATTAGGGACAACAAACGCGACCCAACATAGTATTGAAACTGGCGATGCCGTACCAATCCATCAAAGAATGTATCGGGCAACGATACCAGATCAGGAATTCATCCGAGAAGAGATAGGCAGAATGCTGGAAGCGGAGATCATCAGACCATCGAACAGTGCGTGGTCGTCTCCAGTAGTAATTGCCTTAAAAAAAAATAAGAAGAAGCGTTTTTGTATCGACTATCGAAAATTGAACGGAGTTACAAGAAAAGATGTATACCCGTTACCGCGGATCGACGAGATGCTCGACAACCTTGGTGAGGCAAAGTGGTTCTCGTCAATGGACCTGTCATCCGGATACTGGCAGATCCCGATGAACGAAGACAGTAAATCGAAAACCGCCTTTATAACCAAAGAAGGACTATTCGAGTTCAACGTGATGCCATTTGGGCTGTGCAACGGTCCAGCGACTTTCCAACGGGCTATGGACACCCTACTTGGAAATTACCGATGGAGGTTCGCCATGGTATATATCGATGATGTTAACGTCTATTCATCATCCTTCGATGAACATTTAAAACACCTACGATTAGTATTTGAAAAGTTCCGTGCCGCCGAATTGAAACTCAACCGTGACAAATGTTATTTCGTTCGAAGCGAATTACCTTTCTTGGGGCATGTAGTAAATCAGGATGGAATCTCTCCAGATCCTTCCACTGTCGAGAAAGTCCAGAATTTCACACAACCACGAACAATTAAACAACTTCGATCGTTTTTGGGATTAGCAGGATACTACCGAAAATTTATCCAGGGATTTTCTCAAGTCGCTGCGCCCCTCTTCAAACTGTTAAAGAATAACGTTACTTATGTATGGACGACGGATCAGGAACGAGCCTTTGATGAACTGAAAAGACGACTCACCACAGCTCCAATTTTAATATACCCGGACTTCACTAAAAAGTTTTATTTATACACCGATGCATCAGACGCCGGTCTAGGTGCAGTACTCGCCCAAAAAGACAACCAGAAGAGAGAAAGAGTGATCGCGTACGCGAGTGTGTCGCTTAAACCAGCCGAAAAGAATTATAGTACGACCGAGAAAGAGGCTCTTGCTGTAGTATGGGCCGTCCGACAATATCGACATTATCTATTAGGAACGTTATTCGAAATCGTAACCGATCACAACGCCCTTCGATGGTTATTCCATAAACAGAGCAACCCTGGACCTCGTGTTTCGCGATGGATCATGGACATGATGGAATATACATTCACCGTAACTTATCGAACAGGAAAAACAAACCAAAACGCAGATACCTTATCTCGACTCGATCATCAATAACAACACTTACAACAAAAAAAAAAGGGGGAAATTAACGATATTAATAATAACTGGAATAATCAATAATAAGACGATAAAATGGAAATAGAAGGATATAACAACCTAAAAAATTACTTGACAGATGAACGGAATCCCGTAGGATTCGACGAACAACAACGACAACGTCTAATACAACAATCAAAACATTTTATATTAATAAACGATCAACTATATAAAAAGAACAGAAAGAAGGAACCCACCAACCCATTAAAAGTATTACGAATAAATGAAATCAAAGCAATTACAACCTACATGCATGGTGATTTGTTATCCGGACACTTTGGTTTCGATGGAACTTATCAACGGATCATTGCGAAATATTGGTGGAATGGAATGGGAAATTATATCCGAGATTTTGTAAAGTCTTGTCCGACTTGCCAATTAACAGGAACGCGTTTCAATCGACAACCACTTCATCCAGCGAAAATCGGCGAACCATTTGAACGAATACAGATTGACCTTGTTGGACCTTGCGAGCGCACTACTAGAGGGAATCGTTTCATAGTTGTAGCTATTGATTCTCTCACAAGATGGCCCGAGGCACGAGCGATACCAAATAAAGAGGCTAACATGATTGCTAGATTTATCTTCGAAGAGATAATATGCCGCCATGGATGTCCAAAAGAAATACAAAACGACAACGGATCGGAATTTACGGCAGCAGTCGTCAGAGAGTTGAACGGACGATTTCAGATACGACAGAAATTCTCTTCGCCCTACCATCCGCAGACCAACGGAATGGTTGAAAGATTTAATCGGACCCTTTGTCAAACTCTTCAAAAACATTGCATCCAAATGGGAACCGAATGGGACGAATTCCTACCCGCCGCATTGATAGCATATCGTACACTACAAAACAATACTACCCGACATACTCCTTTCTTCTTGACCTACGGAAGAGAAGCACGACTTAATGAAAGTGAATCGATTG